AGTATGACGGATGAGCAAAAAAAACCTTAAGGTACAGTTGATGGTTAGTTTAGTTATTAATGGTAGGTATTAAGATTACGAGTTAATATTTCCGGAGCAGCCGGAGCTGGGGGGCGGCGATACTATCAATCTACATATTCATTCATTCATTCATTCATAATTTAAGAGCTACGCTCTTGTCGGTGGAGCTCTTGCCACTTTCCGCGATCTTCCATCATGCTCTTTAATTCTTGATACGACACGACTCCCATTTTGTCCTCAATTTGTTTGATGTAGCTATTCCTTGGTCTTCCCCTCCCCCTCTTTCCTTCTATCTACATATACATACAAGATATTAAAAATCCCGTTAGTCATATGGACTATTGACGCTGTTTAAAAAAATATATATAATATATATAAGTATCAAGAACATATAGTATACATCTCACGATCGATAGAACCGAATATTTCCGAATGTTGCCGATGTAATACGAGTTGTCTACTTCTTCTAGTGTGAGTACATTATAATTATATTACTCGCTGGTTTAGCGGTTGAGCACATCGCCTTACTTCCGACGGTCGCAGGTTCTATTCCTCGCACAACACACAAATATTTGCACGATATCGGATTTTTTTTTAAACATATTTTTGGTAAATTAATAACTTATTATTATTATTATCGGTTTGGGTGTATTCTATGTATACATTTAAGAGCAATGAAACCTGGTCACTTAAAACAACCTATAGTAATAATCTCAGGACAATTCACACAGCGCCATCTAGACCCAAGTTAAGCTAGCTAAAGCTTGTGTTATGCTAGTACCCATATATAACTGATACAAATACATAGATATTTTTTTTTCGTAAATACATACATATTATACATAGAAAATACCCAGACCGATACAAACAATCATACTCATGAATACAAATGTTTGTGCCAATTTGTATTGTATATATAAACCTTCCTCTAGAATAACTCTATCTATTAAAATAACCGCTTCAAAATCCGTTGCGTAGTTTTAAAGATTTAAGCATACATAGGGACGGACAGACAGCGACAGCGACTTTGTTTTATTCTATGTAATGATGATTATTAAGATATATAATATACTACAATACTGTACATTATTATTATCTTATCTAGAAAAAAAAATACACTTTCATTAAAGTCGGTCTGGCACACCGCTTTATATTTTCTCATAGTGACGATCTCGGTGGTCTAGCGGTATAGCGGTTCGCGGGTTCGATTCCTCGCACGGCACAAACATTTGAATTCATGTATATGATTGTTTGTATCGTTCTGGGTGTTTTCTATGTATAATATGTATTTACGAAAAAAAATGATCTATGTACTTGTATCAGTTCTCTAGTACCCGTAACACAAGCTTTAGCTAGCTTAACTTGGGACTAGATGGCGCTGTGTGAATTGTCCTGAGATTATTATTATTATTATAAAATATATCTAAGTATTTACATCAGTTCTATAGTACCCATAACACAAGCTTTAGCTAGCTTAACTTGGGACTAGATGGCGCTGTGTGAATTGTCCTGAGATTATTATTATTATTATAAAATATATCTAAGTATTTACATCAGTTCTCTTAAGGCATAACACAAGCTTGCATGTCAGAAATGACTAAATGTGCGGAACAAAATTAAGATTTAAAATAGCACAACCAATGTACCACATTTTATGCAATAAAATTTCAGTTCATTTCATTTCCTATTTCATATAAACTTTTTATTTTTTATATCTATTTTTTATATGTCATTTTGATGAAATAATATTGTTTTGTTACTTCTTGCTGTGAGCCCTTTTGGGAAGAATACACATTTTTACTAGTATTTGGTTTTTATTAAAATAGTAGTTGTGTTCCTGCTCCAGTAACAATCATACTATGCTACGACGTAGCATTCTCGTAGCAGTTTATGTAGCACTTGCGTTCTTATAGAAAAGAAAGAAAGAAAGAAATTGTTTTTCACATTTATTGACAACCATTATTACATTTACATATTTGACAAAGGTACATTTTACATATATATATATATATATATATACATATGCATTTCTTCCACTATTATTTGAAAAAAATACGAGCTGAGTTTCTTGTCAGTTCTTCTCACCTCGAAATCATTCCGAACTGACGGTAGATTTGACATATCATAAGAGTCTGTAATAGACCTACATGAATAAAGATATTCTGAATTTGAATTTGAATTTGCATACACACACACTTAATACAAATTATACATACATACACACTTAGAACAATTAAAATATATATATATATATAGCTACGCGTAGATTTAACGCAGGCACTGCACAGTTCCATATTTGTTGTTTTATTTAAAACTAGCTACTGACCAGGGATAGAGTAGAATAGAATAGAAAATCATTATTCAAATAAACTTACATTGAAGCACTTTTGAACAGTCATAACAATTTGTTTTTTATCTACCACCAAATATTACCTAATACCATTCAAATAAACTTACATTGAAGCACTTTTGAACAGTCATAACAATTTGTTTTTTATCTACCACCAAATATTACCTAATACCATTCAAATAAACTTGAAGCACTTTTGAATAGTCATTACATTTTTTAATCTACCGCTCGTTCGGAAAGCTGTCTCATCACAAGAAGAACGAGCAAGAAACTTGCGTGTTGCTCTTTTAAATAATTTTATTATTACTTTACATTTTTAAGTTTAAGTGTGTGAATACAAACCACCAATTAGCACTAATTTAATTAAATACTCAAATAGAAAAAATATTGAATATATAACCAACTGGTTAAACAATTAATAAGAGGAAATCAGTCATAGTGATTAAGTTATGGATATAAAATTTTGGATATGGATAGGTTTCGGATATAGGAATAAATATGAACTTATTTCGGATTATCCGTTAGTTTCGGATAATTTCGATTACGGATATTAATTTTTTAAGGATTTCAAAAGTAAAATACAAACAGCTAATAAAATGGTAACATAACGTGTCTTAATTACGCTCCGCCCCTATCCGATATTATCCGAAACTTTTATTTCGGATTCGGTTACGGTTACGGAATTTTTTTTACATCAGATATCGGATACTTTCGGTTACGGTTACGGAATTTTTTTTACATAGGATATCGGATACTTTCTGTTACGGTTACGGAATTTTTTTTACATCGGATATCGGATAGTTTCCGTTATGGTTACGAAATTTTTTTTACATCGGATATCGGATAGTTTCCTTTACATTTACGAAATTTTTTTTACATCGGATATCGGATAGTTTCCGTTACGGTTACGAAATTTTTTTTACATCGGATATCGGATACTTTCGGTTACGGAGCTCTCTAACATCTAAGGCCTTATGGTAGTTTGCCATCATCGTAGTTGTTGGCGACCGACCGCCGAACTCTTTAGATATTTTTATTATTTTTAAATTTATATTTGAAGAGTTCTTTTTTATATGTCATGTTATTTGATATACTTCAATTTATTGTATCATTCTATCATTGTCTTTCGTATAGTTCGCAATTGCACATATTAATATATTATATTATTGCAAACTACGTGTTTCCATCATTTAGACACCCATACAGTCCACCGATCCGTTACATTTTCGTCCTTTCGTCGCCGTTATATTGATATTTCATATAGTAGTATAAAAATGAATTTGCATTCTTTATAGAAAATTACTATTCAAATGATATATAGAGATATAGAGGTATACTTAAATTATTGGTTCTATTAATTAATTAAAATAAATTTAGATCTGTTCAGTCTAGGAGTAGATGACGCTGTGTTGATCGTTCAGTTTTGTTTTTAAACAATGATAATGTAATGTTGCACCCGCCTGTGCTAACGGTATACGCTGGCGGAGCACCAGTGGAGGATGATAAGATGAACATGAGGTCAGGTCAGTTAGCACATGATGGCAAATCCAATAATAATAATAATAATCATCTCAGGACAATTCACACAGTGCTATCCTAAGTTAAGCTAGCGAAAGCTTGTGTTACGGGTACTAGATAACTGATACAAGTACATAGATATTTTTTTCGTAAATACATACATATAGAAAACACCCAGAGCGATACAAACAATCATACTCATGAATACACATGTTTGTGCCGTGCGAGGAATCGAACCCGCGAACCGCTATACCGCTAGACCACCGAGGTCGTCACTATGAGAATATATTATAAGAATAAATATATTTTTTCTTTTAAACAGCTAATTATTTAAAATAGATGTATGTTTTATGATATATAACATTATAAGAAAGTCCTTTGTTTTATATAAAAGCCAGTTAGTATTTTTTTTTTTGGGGATGATCATGAAATGCTGCACCCGCCTGCGCTAACGGTTTACGCTGGCGGGGCACCAGTGGAGGATGATGTATGATGTCAGGTCAGATGGCCCATCGTGATAAATTCACTAGGTTCTTCCTGGAAACCATCGTGATTAATTCACAATGGTTTCCAGGAGGAACTGCGTGGAGGTCGACCTAGCATGGTACATTGCTAGCAATGGGAGTTACTAGTTCCCATTACCAACAATACCCTTGTTAATTTCCATTAGGTGGGTCATCAACTTTTTTCAACTTCAATCATAACAAAAATATAAATTTTAAGATTCGATCAGCACAAAAAATAATGACTAAATCGATTTAATTCTAAATTTGCTCAATTAATAACCTATTTCCGGGAGACTAAAAGGGTTTATTAACCTATTATCTCAACGCCTGCGATATCCCGAACAAAAACCAGCGACAAATAATCTTTGCTATAAATTTTTTAACAGGCAACAACCAAATTCGATACTTCATTTGATTATAAATTGAACGCGAAATGAATCTATTTAACAAATTTCAAAGTGTAATAATTTTATATTGTATACATAACTGAAATTGGGATGTAGTGTAGCTGAAAGACTGTCTCTTTCACTCATATATCTGTCCTTATCGAGCATTCCTTGGGTATTGAACTGGCGCTCGCCTCCGTCAGTAGATTCAACTTACGCGTATCGACTTCACGTCGGTTTTACGCGTTTTCCCTGTGAAATTTTCAGGGAAAAACCTGTGCAATAACCGCGAAAATATTCAATATATCCTCTAATATATATATAAAGTGTTATATACAGTTATCTATAATATATTACTAACGGTTTAGGTGGGAAAACTCGTACAATATACTATATATTCCAGGCCTTCAAGATGGCAGTTTTACAATGAACTGTGGTAAAATTTCCGTTTCCTTTATATAATCTGTGATTTATTTGTGTCGTAAATGGTGTTCAAGGTAAGTTTAATTATTAATTTCCTGTATTTATTAATATAAGTGTATGTATATTAGTTTTATTACAGCAAACTAAGGTTTTAAGCAATGAAAGGAGAAATACGGCGTGGGTTTTTGTACAAAGTAGGTATATAGTTACCGTGAAGGTTTCATATGGCTATATACATACTACAGTCTGTTTGGTATCTCAGAATAACAATAGAAAATCATTTATTCAAATAAACTTACATTGAAGCACTTTTGAATAGTCATCGCATTTTTTTTAATCTACCGCTCATTCGGAAAGCTGTTTCGTCATAAGATCTTTGCAGAGACTGAATTGACAGATGTAAGTTTTAAATTTTCAAATAATGTTACCACCTATAGCGGAGTAGTGGTGTACCTGCGTTACCGATTTGTTTAACCGGAAATTTATTTTACAATATTAATTTTAACGCTTTAAATGACTTTTCCATAATAAGATTTTCGAAATTTACGTGTATATACTAGTGTTTATATTACTGTCGTTGTGTTATACAACGCAAAAACACATCTTTTGTTTTCCGTACAAGTAGCAATTTTTTACAGTATTAAGCTACATACTAACATTTATTTTCTTTTAAACAACTAATTATTTAAAATAGGTGTATGTTTTATGATATATAACATTATAAGAAAGTCCTTTGTTTTTTATAAAAGCCAGTTAGTTTTTTATTTTTTTGTGGATGATAATGAAATGTTGCACCCGCCTGTGCTAACGGTTTACACTGGCGGGGCACCAGTGGAGGATGATAGGATGAACATGAAGTCAAATCAGTTAGCCCAACGTGACAAAATCACCGGGAATGTATCACTATGGTTTCCAGGGGTAACCGTGTGGAGGTCGACCTAACATGGTACATTGCTAGCAATGGGGGTTACCAGTTCCCATTACTAACAATACCATTCACCCCCAGTTAGTATTTATTTAGTGAAAAATAATGAATCTATTTTACAAACGTTTTGTCTTATAAATTAATATAGCTAGCTATAAAAATAAGTGTTGGTGATAGAAGGGTGAATACTTAGGGTTGTAAGTATTTAATGCCGAATCACAAAAAAAAAACCAAAAATAAAATATGTTTTCTTTGGGTGGATCACCCTTATCACTAAGGGATATGAAAATAGATAACAACCTGTTCTCAGAACTACCGTGTATACATATAAATATTCATCGAAATAGGTCAAGCCGTTTCGGAGAAGTATAAGTATGGTAACTAACATTGTGACACGAGAATTTATACGTGAATCATATACTTTGAACAATATATATATATATATAAATTGATACAAATATAAATTGCACATACGGTGGAGTATGAAATTTTGCACACTGATAGTTTATATATATAAAAACTAGCCGCGACTTCGTCCGCGTGGATTTAAACTTGATATTTCTAAAATAAAAGTAGTCCTTATTACATCAGCTACCTGCCAATAAAAGTCCCGTCAAAATCGGTCCAGCCATTTCAGAGATTAGCCGTAACAAACAGAGAGACAGACAGACATATAAAAACACACATATAAAAAGTTTAAAAAGTGGTTTTTTGGTGTATGTACTGTATTTATATTCATATGCATGTAGTAAAAAACGGTTATTTCAATATTACAAACAGACACTCCAATTTTAATTATATGTATAGATGTATAAAAACTAGCCGCGACTTCGTCCGCGTGGATTTAAACTTGATATTTCTAAAATAAAAGTAGTCCTTATTACATCAGCTACCTGCCAATAAAAGTCCCGTCAAAATCAGTCCAGCCATTTCAGAGATTAGCCGGTACAAACAGACAGACAGACGAAAATAGTAAAAAATGTTATTTTGATGTATGTACCGTATATATTCATATGCATGTAATAAAAGACGGTTATTTCAATATTACAAACAGACACTCCAATTTTATTTATATGTGTCATTACATAGTATAAAACCAAGTCGCTGTCGCTGTCTGTCCCTATGTATGCTTAAATCTTTAAACGACACAACGGATTTTGACGCGGTTTTTTTAAATAGTTAGACTGATTTTAGAGGAAGGTTTTTATCTAAATATATATAACTCAAAGGTGACTGACATAGTGATCTATCAACGCACAGCCCAAACCACTGGACGGATCGGGCTGAAATTTGGCATGCAGGTAGATGTTATGACGTAGGCATCCACTAAGAAAGGATTTTGATTAATTCTACCCCCAAGGGGATAAAATAGGGGCTGAAATTTTGAATGTAACTTTGTCAATTTTAAACCGATCGGGCTGAGACTTTGCATGCATAAAGCTACTATACCCCTAAGGGGATATAATAAGGTAAAGCCGCGGGCAAAAGTTAATATATAATATATGTACACCCGTTCGTCTTGGCTCGAATAGACTAGCCTCCACAAGAATACATTTTCTGTCTCCCAGTTTTAAACTCATGTAAGATTATGAATATAATTGAGTATCTAATATGATCTATTTGGTAAATAGCGCCATCTAGTATTTATAGACCGAACCACGTTGTTTGTCAGAAGATAACCGTTACCTCCGCTTCTCCCTACTACACTAACATCCGTCTATAAATACGGAGGTCGGTAGTCGAATAATCCTCTTTGGTTGGGTGAGCCGCGGCATTCAGTCGACGAGTGCAGAGCGTGCCGGTTGTGTTTTGGATACTAAAGTGAATTGTATTAGGAATAGGTTCATCCCGGTCTTAGTTGGGCCTGGGGGGAAGCTGCAAGTAGTGAAGGTGAGTGTTAATGCATTCTAAAAGAGCTCTTTAAACCTACACCCGTGTCACAAGTCACGGGCGCTACTTGGGGTTTCCCTTGCGGTAGCCGGCTTCAAAGCTAAGTCATCATCTTATACAAGTGCATCTTACACTCACGACCTCTTAAGGCTGGCTACTGCACGAATCTATATCCTTTTCCCCGTGGGATGACAATCGTATAACCACCTGTTTGACCAATGTCAGCTGATCTCATTAAAAATACATTAGCGCCAACGAATTACAGTTCGTTTTGTTGATTCAAAACTGCGAATCAGTAATCGATTCGCGTCACAAAACTGCTGGAAAGTAATGAGAATATTGACCTGTCCATAACAATGGTATGATTATTCTTTTTTTTAATAATAATTTATTTTTCTCATTATTTATTTTCCTGAGATTAGCGCGTTCAAACAAACAAACAAATGCGGACAACAGCATTAGAGTAGTCCGAAAATAAACATTGCGTTTGATATATCTGCATCTCGTTATCCAGAGACGCAAAATAACACTTTATCATATCCCTCATGTGATAAAGTAACAAAACAAAATACGACAAATAAACATTCAAATTATAAGCCAGTGTTTCCCAAAGTGGTCTATATTGAATAACATGGTTCGAATTGAAAAATTCTTTTTGTTATGGATAGTCCATTTATCGAGGAAGGCTTTAAGCTATATAACATTACGCTACGACCAATAGGAGCGGAGCTGTGATGAAAAATATTGCTAAAGGTGGGGAAATTGTGCTTACGAAGTACTGATGTGTGTGTATCGCTGAAAGTGAGGCTGAATACGATGCGAGAGATAAATTATTACAAGTTTTTTCTTTAATGGTTGATAGTGTAATGGTGCACCCGCCTGCGCTAACGGTATACGCTGGCAGGGCACCAGTGGAGGATGATAAGAGCATGAGGTCAGGTCAGTTAGCACATCGTAGCAGATGGCAATATACCGCGATAGTTTCCAGGGACAACCGCGTAGAAATCCAGTTTAATAATTCAATTTATATATTAACTGGCTACTCGCCCCGGCTTCGCACGGGTGTACATGTATTATATATATAAACCTTCCTCTTGAATCACTATCTATTAAAAACCGCTTGAAAATCCGTTGCGTAGTTTTAATGATTTAAGCATATATAGGGACGGACAGACAGCGACTGCGACAGCGACAGCGACTTTATACTATGTAATGATGATTAGCTGTGCCTGAAGTTTGAACTGCGTGAAATTTATAGCCTATATGTTACTGTAAAGTTTCATTAAAATTCGTTCAGTAGTTTTTGCGCGAAAGAGTATCAAATATCCATCACTAACTTTGGATGAGCATGAGGTTAGGTCAGTTAGCACATCGTGGTAAATTCACCAGTTATGTATCACCATGGTTACCATATGGTAGCTTTATATATGGTACATTGCTACCAATAGAGTTATCACTGAAACTGAGGCCGATTTTGAGGCAAATAATAATAAACGTGGACAATTCACACAGCGCCATCTAGTCCCAAGCTAATCAAAGCTTGTGTACTAGACAACCTATATAAATACGTAGATATATATAAATTACGTGTCACGTTGTTTGTCCGCGATGGATTCCAAAACTACTGAACCGATTGCAAATTTGATTTGCACATTGTGTGCAATTTGATTCAACTTGAAAGATAGGATAGCTTACATCTCAATTTATAGTCGCAATATTATTTTATTCAAGAACCTTAGACACAGCAGAGACGCAGCATTAGATTTTGTTGGATTTTTTTGTAAAATCAAGTACCAATTGATTTTATTACGAAATCTAACATATTTGTATTGAAAAAAAGCCTTTAAAAAAATTCGGGTGGTCTTACCACTCATGCTTTTTACAAATAGGGATAATCCAATGTCCTCGACCTACCCCTACGAGATTCTCAACTTAGGGGTTGAAACCATTTGCAAGACAAATTCAATTTAAAATCGCGTAACCCTCAATTTGTTTTAAGAGAGTGCACTGTTTTACTTCTGTGATCTGTAATTACGTTATCTGGGGTGCAGTCGAATTGTAAAATCATTACTCTGTGATTTTTTTAGTGATAGGGTAGACTGACAGCCTGTGGTTTAGCGGTTTACACAGCTTTACTTCCAATGGTCGCGGGTTCGATTCCTCGCACGGTGCGAACATTTGTATTCAAGAGTTCGTATCGGGTCGGGTGTATTCTATATGCATGTATTTACAAAAAAATATCTAAGTATTTATATCAGT